GGCTCCGTGCTGCGGGCGCGGCGCTCCTTGTGCTGCTGCCCGAGGTGGCTTGGGAAGCAAAGCCCGTGCTCGGCTTTTGCGAAGCGAAGCCCTGGCAGGCTGGGGCGGCACGGGCTTTCCCGCGCTGCCCCACACGCGGCTTGTGAGGGAGGGCGTGGGGGAGAGTAGGCTCCACGGCCACCCCCTCCTTGCTCCCCCGCTTTTTTGGGGTTTTTTTGTCAGTAATCTGCCAATTAGTGCCAGTGGGGATGTGGACATCTGTTCACTTAGGAAATAGACCGAGACGGTGAGGAATAAATATGCAGCGCAGAGAGGCAGGGAACGGCTTCCTTTTGCAGCCCTGAGACTAGCGCTGGAGCCTTCTGCTCCCGAACTGCAGCCCTTTAGGTCATCCCCTGTAGTTTGGGAGAGCCGCAGTAGTAGGGTCCTTGCCCTACCCCTGGAGCAGTCCCTAGAAGGCAAAACAAGAACAGGCCTTGCCCTACTGTACGTGTCTTGCATGAGACCCTTAAACTCCTTCCACAACGGCCACCAACCAGCCAGATGGGCCCTCTGCCGGGGATCTCCCAGGATAGAGAGCTCCTAAGACCTCTCCTGGGAGCCTTTTTGACTCCAAAGTCGATAGGAGTGTTGTGGGGATGTTTTGCTCCTGACTGCATTCCCCTTGCTTAGACTCATCCCTGTCAGGAAGGATTTCTTCCAAAAAGTACTCCTGAAGCATACACTTCCCTACCTTTGGTATGGAGCAGTTTGCACACGCCAGCTGCAGAGACTTCCTCAGCCTGATGAAAGGTTTTTAAACCCGAAAGTTTGCTAAAAAAATTTTTCCAACTATTTAAGTTGGTCTAATAAAAGATATCAAATTCACCCAAAGAACCTTGTCTGCCTGTCCTTAGATCAAAACTGCTACAACCTGCACCTCTGATTGCATTAAATGGCATTTGTTTGTTTTTTCAAGAAAACAGCTCTTGGAGAAACCCATTGGCCCCTTCTACATGTTCTTGCTCTTGCATCCCGTGATCCCCTGGCACAGAAAGCTACTTCAAACTACAAAATGGGGAAAAAACGGGGGGGGGGGAGGGTTACAGGAATGACATGCAAACATCGCCAGCAAACACCCTTTATGTAAATTTGGTTGCCAAATGGTGTTGCCTCTCTTTGGCAGTGCTTGTGGGGTGGGGAGTTTTAGTCAAGTAGGAAAACAAATAGGTTCTTCATGTGGTCATCTGCCAGTACAAGGCACCTAAGAGCAAAGAGGTTTGTCACAGGTTAAAAGGGGAAATTTTGTTGAGAGTCCTTTGTCATCAGATGGTCACAATTTTGAGGGCCAGCTGTTGCTACTTGAGTTCACATAGTAGTTCCACTAGCCTATGCTTTGACTAGCTGGGAGAGCCATGCTGTAATCTAGGTCCTGATTCAGTAATGCACTGAATGGCCGCAGCAGTGAGCTTACAGCGTGCTGCGTGTTCGCCTTTCCTGGAGGAGCTGGGTCCCTAGATGTAAAAGGCTGTGTATCTCTTTACCTTTGCCTGGTGCCATCTAGTTCAATTAAATTAATTGTTTCAGGATGAGTTTATCTCCTCCTAATTTGGAATCAAATGCTGTGTGAATGTGTGGAAAAGTGTTATGCTTGTTCATGACATCAGAAACTGTTGCGATATCACAAATACAGTGAAGCCAATAGGTGTAGATAAGCTGTAACAGGAGCCAAACTCTGCTCTGAATACAAATAACTTTAGTAATTGACCAATATGATAAGAAAAACATATCAGTGGTGGATGGATTTGTGTTTCAGTCTGGTATTTTTGAAAGCTTTCCCCTATTATAAAAGTCCCTCTTTAAGCTCCCCTCAGGGATGTAAGTAGAGAGGGGAGATGTTTTTAATAGACAATAATAAGATAATCCACATAGAAAAAAACCTCCTGCAATATTTTTACTGTAAGAGATAAACAATGCAGCTGCCAATTTGTAGGTAGTCATGCAAACATTAAGATAACAATTTAGGGGGGTGGGTGGGAGACCCTGGAAGATAACTCCCAAGGCTACAAGGCAGTGTGTTTTTCATCTTCCTGCAGTTTATTGCAGAAATAATCCAGTCAGAAAGTAATGGCGTTGAGTGATCCAAGTACAGAGTGATTTGGATGATGTTTATGCAACTCTGAGCAATGCTCACTCGTGTTGACTTTCAGATAGTTTGCTGAAAGTTTTAGTATTTTTAGAAACAACTTTAGTAATCTAGTAGAACTGATTATTACAAAGAGAGACGTCTAAAACAATCCTTTTGCTTGCACCCACCAACCTGCATGCTCACTATTTTTTGTTAAAATCCTATGAACTAGGATCTTCCTGAAAATAAAGGGACTTTGTTTTGTTTTGGGGGGTTATTTTGGTATAAGAATCAGGAGTTGTCAGGACCGTTGTTTAAAAAGGGCCAATATGTGCTCAGTGAGGGACTACAACCCATATGCCAGTGATAGTATTTGTTTTTCTAACTTTTCTGGCACAGAATAGTTGCTGTTTGTGGAGTTTGCAGTGAGAAGCTGACATGCTTTCCCCAAGGAGGCCTGCAAAGACGCTTCCCATCTTCATCTCCCCACTTTTCCTCCTTGTGACATTTACTCTGCTTTTGGTGTGTTGTGCCTGGCCCAGAGGGCTGAGATCAGAAAGCAAACTAGTTTCCTGTGCTGGAAGTGGTTGTCTCCCCTCCAACTCTAATAGTCTGACATTCCACATAGCCTATTGCAGGGGCTTTCGACCTGTGGTCCACAGACTCCTAGGGCTTCATAGACTACGTCTAAGGAGTCTGCAAAAGATGACTACGATCAATCAAAAGTATGTGAATACCCACACTTAACATTCAAAGGGGTCCGTACCTCCATTCAAAAGTTTTTAGGGGTCCACAAATGAAAAAAGGGTTAAAACCATTGGGCTACTGGATTTGTTTCCAAACAGAATTCCATTGCATTTGGGTTCCAAGGCACAGTGGCCTTGTATCACAGATAGCCTTGGAGGAGAAAGCATCCTTTACAAGGTTTAGGAAGCTGTCAGGTTCAGATAAGGCTGGGCTCCTATCTTGTGGGACCCCCAGTTGTATTAATAAGAAAAAATTAATTTTTAAGCACTGGGATGGCTGCCAAATTATGTGACCTTTGACAGACCAGCTGTGCTATAAAAATAAATCTTATGGAGCTGGAAACTGCAATCCTATCTGAAACTGAAATAGAAGTTAGGCATTTAGCCATGACAGTGGGGGCAATTTGCAGCAGCATGAGAGAACTGAGCAATGAAACCCCCTTCCTCATTGTGATGTGAAGTTGTAGACACAAGCATCACTCACTTCCCCCTTGGGGTCTCTGGAATACAGTCATCTAATCCAGAAAGGGTAGAAAGATGACAGCGAATGCACACACCAGGGAGCAGGGGGAGGCGTGAACAACTCCAGTCTTACCCTCACCCTACAGCAGCCCTGTGACACACTTCTGATTATAATACACACAGGCAAGGAGATAACCGGGTTATTTCCAAAATCCCTGTCCACACACTGGGTGAAACTGCGGTAGCGACAACCGCATAAATCAGGATTGTTGCTAGTGTAGTTTCACGTGGTTAGGGTTACAGTAGCGTGGGTCTAATCACAGCTGGAATCAAAGGGTCAACTGCTCTGAAGACAAAGCCAAACAGCAACCTCAAAGGGCCAATTTCTCAGCCAGAC